TGCTTTATGTGCCCATTTTTTAAATTTTTTATCGCACATAAATTTAAAATTATTCAAGAGATACTCTAATAACGAATATAAAGGACTTTTAAAAATTGAAATTTTAATTCATCAATGGAATTCAAACATTTTTTATGGAATGGTTTTTCTTATATTTTATTTAAACGTCAAACAAAAATTTGGCTTTGAATTAAGTAAATAAAGACTAAATGTATTTATTTATTTATACCGTTTTCGATTAGTAAATCTGCGGTAACTTTGTCAATCGAGATTCACTTTTTGAGTACTATTATTATTTTCGATTATTAAAACTCGAGCGAATGGTACAACATTCAAAATTAATCTATAACACTTTAGATATTTTGCCAGAAATTAACCTGAAATTAAAATAACCTGAAACAGCTGTTTTATGACTTGATCGCCCAATACTAGACCTCCCCGGTGCTAGCATTATACGCAGATTACACATGTATGTATTCCGATAAACATGCCAGACATATAACTAACACGTTGCAGGAACACACTATTCTCCCCCTAGATTTCTTCCAGAAGTGGAAAATAAAAATTAACAACAGGAAAATTAAAACCCTGTTTATACCTCGTAAACACAGGCAGCATCCACCGAGAGTGAGAGTTGGTGGCATTGCGATAAATTGGGAGGACAGCATCAAATACCTGGGAATCACGTTTAATAAACGGTTCCCTTGGCACAAGTACATACAAGACAAAAGAAGTAATTGTGCAAAAACACTGCAGAGCTTACGACAACTTTTTAAACACAATAACCTTAGCGCTAAGAATAAAAAGTTAATCTACAGTCAGATAATTAGACCGGAACTTTTCTACGGGAGTATCGCGTATAGCAAAGCTGCCAACTCTGCTATCCAGAAACTACAAATTGCTTAAAGCCAAACTCTCCGAAGACTCTTCAAAGTGCCATGGTATATCCGCACGAATGACATGCTAAGAGATAAGAGAATAGAACCGGTCAAAAAATACACAAGGGACAGAGCGATGAAGCTATACTGATAGGTTGCCCTACATAGAGCAATCATTAGCTGTACGGAACGGTTTGCACATCTTACATCAGTCATCGAATAATCAGCAAAGCTTGTGAAGAAACCCCGCAGCTAACAAAAAGTAAAAGTGTCCAGTTGCACTAACTCGAAAAAACCTCAATATAAGACTATGCTTATAGACTTTAGTACTCTAAAACGAAGAATTTTATTACATATATATGGGTATTATATGCAATCAACTTATTTTAACAATAAAGTCTGATTATTAAAGATAAATAGATTTATAAAATTGTGTATATAAAAAAAAACTCGCACATTAGTTTTGATAGAAGATTAAATATTATTATGACACTTTTGCAGTTGTATATAGACCAAATGATGTGTAATAATCTAAAAAGTGTCGAATATCCATATTAGAAAGTCAAATCTAATTTAGTGTGAATTTAATCCTTTTACCTCTAACAAACCATACTTTTCGAGCAAACTCTGCAAATTATGGCACCCTTTTACGAACATAAATATATAATCCACAATATTTTATGCTTTAATAAACAGAAATTTGATACTTTTATGATATACCTACCCGTACATCGCAGGTAAAAATTATGATCATCGTATGATTAATAGTAACTTATTCAAAAGACTTGCCACATGTTAAAAAAACATTATAGATAAAAGGATTTATATGAATTTATCAAAACAATAATATAATAGTTTGGTGTGTGAAAACAAATTTCAATCTTTTAGATATAAATTTCTATTGAGTTTTGACTTTAGAGATCATAAATTAGTACATTGATGATATGCAGAAATAATAGATAAATTATTAAACATCTGTTTGATACCATATACGTTTTTTGAAATTATGTAACATTTAACGTAAAAGGTTTACTTTTATTAATAATATAAGTTAAAATAAATGCATAAATGATTCCAAAACTAAGGACTTAATTGGAAACACGAGATATAATATAGTTAAACTAAATTTCTCTGAAACTGTATTGAAGAGCCAATAACGAGAAGAGCCAAATTGGGATCAATATTAAATAAAAATGTAGAGTACAGAATTCGATAGTATGACGAAAATCAGAGTTTGGCAGGTAATGATTACGATTGATAATGATTGTACATCTACTCAGACGTGACGATTGAGCTACTTAACTATTGCATTTATTTATCACCCATCAATTTTTCGTTTAATGTTTTGGAAGTTTTGGATCTCATCGGTTGGATTTAGTGGTGGCACAACTAACTCCTTTGTTCAAAAAGCACTTAAATGCAGTTTTGTTATCACACACAAGGGAAAAAGTTCTAGTATTAAAAACCAGTCCACAGGTTTATCGAAGAAATTATTGTTTAAGAAAAATTTGGTATATCCACCAGGGTTATTAGTTCGGTGACTGCTTGCCAAACGTGCTTGATATAAATAGTGTATAATAGTCTCCTTTTTTCACTAGAGAGACAGTCATTTTTAAAAGTGAAGTCATACTGGCCCTAAAACTATCAATTCTAACTTAAGAAAATATTTATTCTCGATCAATTGTAATTAGATCACGTTAATAATTATTTTTTGCAGCTCAGCATAATCTTCCCCTTGTGATATTGTTGTCCTAAAAACTATTTTCTATATACTTTCGGACATCTGCTAATGATATCAAATAATGTCAAAAAACAAAAACAAAATTAAAGTTCAGTTCAATATCTTTTATATTATTTGCACAAATACATGCCTTCGCAATCGATATTGCACTACCTCATAAACATTTTCTTTTTATGAAATACATGTTTAACTACATCTATAGAGCGGCATTACTTTGTAAGCTCTTTCTTTTAATTATGTGAAATTACTTCATCTTAACATTTAGGGGATCGATTCCCATATAATATCCTTGAATACATTCATGATCATATAGCAAAATAATGGTGATTCTCCTAACATTACACAAATTTATATGAAAATGTAGTAAAACTAGAATAACTCTACAGTGAAATGATAATGGTGACTTTAACATTAAATAGGCGTATAAGAAAACCTAGTAAAAATGCAATAAATAACCTAAATATGCAATTATTTAAAACACTTATTAAGCACTACTTCAAGCCAAATGAACCCACAAAAATGCAGAGCTTTAGCACTACTAAGATAATCTAACTATTTAAAAAAACTTTTATGTTACCTGTAGACATTTGTAGGTGGTCCTCTATACCGAATCCTTTTTATTAAATATTATTCTAATAACTTCTTTAATAAAAAAACTATTTACACGACGGTTGAAAACTGTTTAAAATACACAATTCCTTTTTTTAATATATTCGGAACTGCCCTTGTTAATAAATAAAAAATAAGTTCCTAACGAAGGAACAAGTATCATTAGAAAAAAAATTTTAATGTACAATAAATAATTAAATTGTAAAAAGACACTTCCTGCCACACATCAATGTACACCCGTACATATCGCAAAAATACAAGAAAAATTTAATTAAATGGCTTTAAAGTTCTCAGCAACTGAATAAATATAAAAATTCAATAGCTGAAAGAATCGAATGCCGGAAAAAAATGCAATTCACCATCATGTCATTAAATAGTATGTCAAGTAAAATGCAATTTTAAAAAAATCTATACAGAAATAAATAAGCAATAACCACTTGAGACCATGACGAGACAATACAAATACGAAAAGCAGAAAGAAAAATAGAGTGCACGGTTCCGCAACTTAAGCCAAACACTTCCCTTATAGGGTGCACATCATTATTAATTTGAAAACTATAGTACGTAGGAATATGTAGAGGAACATGTTCATGCGGGATTATTATCACAAAATGACAATAGCACCTCCATGCAATCATCGTACAATTGCTGTACGAGTGCTGCATGGAATAGTACTCCACACACATTTCTCTCCTCTTCTTTTTTCTGGCACACAATTCAAAGTGCATTTATGTCATTGAAAGCCGAAACGCCTCTTGAGCGAAATTATTATTACCACTTACGATGCAGTCATTGTACTCGTACTAACCAAAGCCGTCTTTGCGTTGTGTAAAAAAAATGTAATAAATATATATATAATAATGCCAATGCGCTCTACAAGAACAAATATATAGGAAATATAACAGTAAGAGGCTAAAAGGCCACTGTAAGCACTTATTTCCACATCAACGCATTTTCTGTATCTGCGTATGGATATGGATCTGGTATGTCCAATACAGGGTAACTAGCATATGGGTTCTGAATTATATGAAATGAAGTTAACTTGAAATAGTAAAGTGCAGACTGAAGAACATGTATCGGACTTGAAAAATCATATCATTTATGTTTTTACTCATATATAATACACCTTTAGAAAAACCGTTATGAAATCAATAATAATAGATTAGTATTCGATCATTTTTTACAGGATCGTTATCACCACACAACGAATTGTAGTTGACCTCATTTTCAACAGAACATCACTCATATTTTTATTTTTATATCATAATATTACTTGTATTTCATACAATCATCAAAAAACCGTTGAAAAATCAATAATAGTCGATCAGTTTTTACTGGATCGTTGTCCCCACACAACGAATTGTAGTTGATAATTTTTTTTGAAGAATATGTATCGGACTTAAGAAACCATATCCTTTATTTTTTTATTTTTGTATCATAAGTTTACGTATATATCACATACTCATAGAAAAGCCAAACTAAAATTAATGACCGTCAATCATTTTTTACAGGATCATTCTTTCCATTTTCAACGCATATTAATTTTTTGATATATTTTTTAAAAGAACGTTGTAAGCAAACATTTAATAGTTGATCATTATACTATAATACTGTTTTATATGGTCACGACTTTACTTACTGTCTTTTATAAATTATAAATTAAAATTAGTTGGTTAAGGTTTTAATTTTTCCAGAAAACGTCGTTTTGATTGAAATACTTAAATAAGTACTTAAATTTTTTTCTATAATTAAATAATAAAAACATTACTTACCAGCAAAAATAGATATAGATGTTAATCTCAAAAATCCAAAAGTAGTTAGTAACGCTAAAAATGAAAAGAAATTAATAAATTATACTCAAGGGCATCTGTTGAGATCTTCCTAGAACACAGACCCCTTCATATACGTACCCAATATCAAGTAAAGACAGTCATTCTAAGATTGTCTTAATCGCAAGAAGCTTGATATTCTTATAAGGCAATTTCCAGAGACTGCAACCATACACCTGATTAAAAACTGAAATTGATAAAAAATATAATTGGAATGGTTTATCTTAAAATTACAAGATAAATCAAAATATATAACACATAGTTCGGCAGACGACTAAAATGCCATAGCATATCTTTATATATATATACATATATTATATAACATATAGTATAATATCTTATAATAGTGGTACAAAAACAATTGTTAATAAAGAAAAGAATAACGCGATAGCTCTGATAATTGGTACATAACTATATGATACGTAACTATTAGACCCATTTATTTGTCATACTACCTAATGGTTCGGCAGCAATAAACACACTCAATTCTCATCAAGTGTCGTCAAGACTAGTGACGCAGTGTCTTGAAAAGTAAAATATTCATGGCAAACAAAAATGGATTCTATAAGTTTTTGATACATTAGAATTTCTGGCAATAAATTTGCAGATTTGCAAAATTTGCTAGAAAATGGCAGCATCGCTGCTTGTAGCACAAAGATAATTCTGGAGTTTTGGAAGACGTAATATTTGTTTATATATGCAAAAAAAAAAAAGAGAAAACCACATATGAATAGGTTTTGTAGGGAAGAGACACAAAATCGCAGAACACTTGATAAGATACATAAACTTAAGAAATCCTTAGTGGGTATTATTTATAAAATAAAAAAAAGAAGAAATGCAACAATAACTAACAGTGAAATGGGTTTAATACTACAAGTTATCGAAGAAATCAGATTTGGTTATCCATGGTCACAATAGATATCTAGATCGCAATGTGAAATCTCCAAACTTAATATTATTATTATTATTAAAAGAAGGAATCGTGCACTGCGACCTAAAAGATCTATTGTGCCCCTTAGTCGGATTAAAGTATTTCTCCAAGTTCGATTTCTTTAAAAAAAAGCCAGTATTGAGCCTATCTTTCCTAGCCTCGAGTCCTTATGATTCATGAAATACCCTCCTAGGTGTTTCTTCCGCTTGTGTATAAGTGCCGGGCACTCCTTAAGCACATGGTATGCAGTTTCTGTCTCTTCTCTACAGTATCTGCAGTCTGAGTCCTAACTTGGATAGGTGATTATTCAATCTACAGTGACCGGTTAATAAACCCGTAATAATTTTTAGGTTATTTTTTGATTGTGCTATGCAATCTTTGAAGCGTTCCTAAAAGCATTTTAGATTGTGAAAATCTTGGTAGCTTTTTCCAATAGAGTGCTCTTTCTTTTTCCTTTACGCTGTTCATAAGAAAGAATAGAGTTCCTAAAACTTATTTTCAAACTTAATAATAATACTTAGATTTATAGTCTTATGGTATATAAACTTGCCATTACCATATAAGTTTAACTTTAAATTAAAAATACTTCATCAGGACTAAATTATAATTTAAAAATCCGTTTTCTTTCATTTCTCATACAATAAAATTGCCAAAATACAGATACTTAAAGTTAATTAATATATTTATAACACCGGCCCCATGAAGGTTCTCGCGCCCCCTTTGTTAATATATACATGTATTGAAATAAAACTAATTTCTTGTCACACGAAATCAACTTTCACTGCATTAGTATATATTCTTGAATTTGTAATTTAACCCACCCTGTATAATGCAAATTACTTTGAACTAATATTGTAAACTCTAAGCGCGTAAAAACTATAATTACATTTCTAACCAACGTAAATACTTGAATACATATTAAGCCAAATATAAAAAAATTAAATAATATGAATTCGAAAAGGGTCGATGATGATATGATAAAATACCAGATACCCAGGTTACCATAAAGTTGAATTATTCCTACACTGTAATAATGTGACACTTGACAACGTTTAACATTAAACACAATAATTTACATTTTTAAGTGGAGAACACGCGAAACATGAAAATAACAACAATTTACGTGTACGTCAGAGACAGTTTCCAATAATTTTTTTTAAAGAATATTTTTTTTTGTTTGTGTATTCAAATATAACTGAATTTTACTTTCTTACTACAAATTCAGAAGGCAGACTTTAAAAGGCAAGACACACGTACAAAACCGGCCTGGCCCGCAATAAAGCAAACTGGCGGATACGTTTTATAGCTAACAAGTGTAATTACGCACGAATGTTAACGTAACATTATCGTTCGTCGTTGCGTTTCGGCTGTTAACGTAAGTACACGTTCGGTAAAATGACGGTAAATGAAATTAATTTCATTGCATTTTAATTACGATATAATTTTGCCTTACACAAACCAAGCATCTCATTACTTTGTTTAATATTGGAAACTCGGCTGCTTTGCGTGTTCCAGTATCTCTTCAATTGCTTTTCGTATTTCGTTTGAGTCCAACGCAAATGCGACGTCACAACATTAAATTGCTATCTTGTAACTTCAAATTATAGATTTATGGAGAGTATTTATTTAGTAATTAAGTAGTATCCACATGTTTCTAATTTCATCATTTGCAAGAATATATCTACAATGTAAACTAGATGATAGTTACTTATTACGTGATTTGACTTGACTTTGACTCCTGTCTTTGAACCGCCAACAAAGTTAAAATGAGTTATTCTAAATTGGTCCCCCTATTTTCATAAAATTACATATTTTAATCGTGGCTTTATTATTTATAAAACTCTCTTACTTTAATGATAGATTAAAGATTGATAATTTAATGAAATGCTTCAGCTACAATTGAATAGAACTTCTATTGAAACAATGTTGTAATGAAAACAAACTATAGAATTTAGCAACCATGACATAAAAAATGCTAAACTATTATAAATATATTATATTAAGACTTTAGAAATATCTTTATGAAATAAGTTGTATAATTTAACGTCTGTTATAACGGAAGTGACTATTTTACTTAATAGACACTAGTATATTTGACAGTTGTGGTCGTGATGCTCTTCTCAGCTAGAAAGCCAAATCTTTGGGACATTCTAAAAGTAAACTTAATTTAATTATTTTACTAAAACTATTTTACCATTTAAATCCAAAAATTATAATAATCAAGAACATATAATTAGAGTTAAAGATAATTCAAATAGATTATTAAATTTTAGTGGTACAAAAATAATTAATAATAATAGTAGTAGTACTAGGGATCGTCTTCATACATATACTAATTCTCTTACCTTAGGCCTTATGACATTGAATGGTAAAGTCGCTGAACAGAGGCTTGAATAATAAAAAAAAATTAATATATGTTATAACAGTTAAATAAAGGAGTCAGCATATTAAATCATAAAATTAAGCACAGTCTCAATCTCGTCTCGTGATCCTTTAGTTAATTTTTCTTTTGTTTCTTATTTTTAATTCATAATTTAAGTCAATATATTTTGCAGTGTATACGTGTATTATTAAGCGTATTCGGACAAATTTAATCAGCGATTTAAGTTAAGAAGAGTATGTGTAAGTGCTTTCAAATACTTAATATATTCCACATATATTCTGCATTGAAAATAGTTTCGACAAATTAGAGATATTACCATTGAATGTATAAAATTGTATATCCTTTATCGGATTTTATTCGTAAGTGCTTTTAGTCGTTTTAGTTGAATCAATAATGTAAAAGTTTTTAATTAAACTATAAAATCATAAAAATATAAATGTGGCAAAGATGATAATCCTACTTTATGTATTACTAACTAATAGTAATTAAAGAAAGTCAAAGAAGTAGGTATATACTTAAGTGCCTAAAGTGATTTTAGAGAAATTTTTTCAAGCACTCAACACTGCATCTCAATAAAGTGATATCCCAGTTTTGATATCTTAATTTTTATTATGTTAACATGTATTAATAATAATTAATAATAATTATTATTTAATTATTATAATTAATTAATTAGTTATAATATCATAATTATTAATAATAATTATTATTATTAATAATCATTAATAATTTTCTTGTGTTACCACAATATTTCCATTTTTTAGGACCTAATTGCGTCGGGTACTCATTAACACAGGGTTGAACAAACCTTCAGTTTCTTAAGTCAATTAACTCTAAACTTTTTCTAATGAAATCATTTTTCAACAACACAAGATCATCTTTACCCAAAGTTTTTTTAAACAGTTTATGTGCCTTATAACTTTCTCACAATATCACAATAGTAGCACTTCTTACAACATATATAAAGTGTTTCTTTTGAAAGACGAAATATTCTAATATCAATCTACTAAATATTGAGCAATATTTTCGAATATAAAATACGTACAATTTAAATATTATATTCTGTTAACAAAATTTTACTGCTTTTCATACGCAAATTTGAAATTTAAGAAAATAGGTCAAATCAAAACTCAGTGCTTTAAGAAAAAACTACAATATTAATTTACAAAAAGAAAAATTGTACGATATATAAATAGAATATATGTTATGTACACATATACAACCTTGATTTGTTAAACAATGGTCATGCCAGAACTTACTAATTATTAACCATATCAATACAAAATTCTAACCAATTAAGGTACGAGTATACATAACTATGTGGTTCATAATAAGTGATTTAAAATAACTAGGGTTTTAATTCACATGAAAGCTTTTTGTTTATTGTGGGTGACATACATTCGTATAAAATTTGGTAAGCTTATATTTTTCGAAAGGTTAAATGCTGAAGACCCTTGTACGAGTACATACTTTCAGTGAGATTATTAAACCGCATGATATACAAAATTCATTTAAGACACACGGCCCAAAAATAATGAAACCTTACAATTTAATTCCTTTCAGTTAAATAAATTTAACCGCTAAGAATTTTATTACGGAAAGAAACCCAAATCCCTTGAAGCCTAGCAACCACCAATTCTAATATCAAGGAAATTGAAGTACAAAATTTTTATTTCAATTTTAATTTCCATTAATCATCAAAGTTTATATTTATGTTTGTATTTGTTTAAATATACATAATAAAAATACATTTTGTAAAGTAATTAATTTCCTATTTTATGAAACTTTTGATACTTCTAAAGTACTTTTGATGTTTACGTTGCCAAGAACGACAAGAACCTCAAATGAAAAGCAATAACTAAATCCATTAAAT